CTGGAGTTCCTCTTCTTTCCGTCACCGACGAGCATGACTTGACCTTCCGGTAAATTGTTTCGTCCACCATCTAGCCTTCTCTCTTCCTCAAGAAGCTTACAAGTGACTTTAGAAAATGCAATTTTCTCCTTCCCATGAATCAAGATCGGCTTCATGTGTTCATAAGAAGTTGGAAGAGACCAGATGAGTCTCAACGCCTGATCCTCATTATCAATCTTCACTCCAATGGATTCCAGCAATGAGACCATCCCATTGAGAACGCTTAAGTGGTCTGAGATGCTTTGACCTTAAGTTATTCGCAGTGTGTGAAACTGCTCCTTCAGATACACCCTATTTGAGACGCCTTTAGCCTGATACAACTCCTCAAGCTTGTCCCATAATGCTTTTGTCGTCGAAATTCCATGCACATTGGCAAGAACATTCTTTGCCAGACACAGTCATATCGCGCTTGCCGCTCTCAAATCCAGTTCCTCCCAATCTTCATCGCTCATTCCAGATTTGCTCACATCAGCTTTTTCTTCAGTGCTGCTGGTAGCACTGCCTTTAGGAATTTTCGAGCCCTTCAAAGCTTTGTGTAACCCCGACTGAATCAGCACATCCTTCACTTGCACTTGCCACAAGCCAAAGTTGATTTTTCCATCGAGTTTCTCCACATAAAATCTCGCCTGATTCAATATCTAATTTCCAAACATCTTCGTAAATTAGTGAACACTAACTTCGCAGAAAAACCGAGCAGCAACCTTGAATAGTACTGATCAGATAAATTCTCAGGGAGGGTAGCGACTTGCCCCCTAAAGACTTACCCTTCTAAGTAAGCTCCCAGGAAAGGCTGGTGGGGTCACAACGGTCCCACTTAAAAAACCAGTCTCCTAGATAAAACCTACTTACACAGTAATTATTCCCTCCACTGCCCAAAAAACTCCTCTGCACACAAGCTCCATCTGTCACTGGCTCCACCGCACGAACAGACCTCTTTGGTATCTTTTCTGATGTGGAAGATCAGACAAAACTGCAACCACAAAGCATACTCAGAATACCAACTAGGCTAACCTCGCTCTGATACCACTTGTTGGGAATTCCGACCACACCTAAACTCCGCCCAAGATCCGCTGAAAATAATAAAACTGGAGAACACAAAGTTTAACATGGAAAACCCTCTGTTAACAAAGAGGGAAAAACCACCAGGGCAACAAGGCCGTAGAAAATCCACTATGTAAAAAAAATTACAATCACACAATTTTTCTACACTCACTTATACCCAAAATTACCCTACAAAATTTTACCCTACACAATATATATATATATATATATATATATATATATTTATTTAAAGCATAAATGATGAAATAAGAGGAAAGAACAAATGTAATCAAGTAATGTCTTCTCAAGTTTCCCATTCATTAATCAATCGCAAACCAAAAGAACCACAAATTGAAATGATGGGAGTGTCACACTCCAAAATTAAGAAACTTGTGTCCAAGAGTTTGAAAACATTTTGAAGAAGTTGTAGTTGGTGTGGTTTGTAAATATCAAGAAGATGACTTAAAGAGAACGATGAAAACAAAAGTAAAATCAAAATCGAGGCACATAATAGTTACGTTCTATTTAAAACGAAATTTCCTAATAAAATATCCTCGATTAACGGCAAACACCTCCAAATTACAATGTTTTTCAACTTGTATATAACAGTATTTCAATTATATAAGCCTTCAGTGAACAATAAATACTGTTAAGCTCCGAATTTTAGAAGGTATTTTGAATATTTTAAAGGGCATTAATGGAGTTTGGAAATCTTTATACTTTGAAGTCTCTAAGTTTTTCATATAATTTTAAAAAACACTTGTCATTCAAACTCATCATGTTCATATCTTAACTCATAATCCAAGTCAATTAAATGGGTAAAAAATCTCATTGTTTCAACTCAAATATCATGCTAGGCAATTAAACCAAGCATAAGAATAACTCTAAAAAACCATAAAACATAAAGATATTCGATACACGACCACTTCACCGTCT